TCGGTGCTGAAACTTGCTTGGTTGCCGAGTTGAAATACCCGGACAGACGAACACACACACACACAGATAGGGTCTTCCCAACATGCGTTTTTGCAATTTGTAAATAGGCAAAAACGCATAAAAACTGCGGGGAATCATGCAAAAAACGCATTATTACACGGGCAGCCCGTGCGTTGGCCAATTATTTATTACTTTTTGTGATAAAAAAGAGTTTGTCGATTAAGCTAATATTTTCAGTATCATTATGCGCTCTTTCAAGTTTATCTACATGCAAAAACGAATAACATCAAGAGACTGTCGCTGCGTATTGTGTATGTTTGTGTGTTCGGATTTTTGTCACCTACATTCGGCTCAGCAACTGCAAGAGCTAGAAAGCTGAAATTTTATAAAAGTGTTCCTAGCTCACATGTCATCCAGACAGCTTGAAATTAAAGCTCACTTACACACCTGGGTCTCACGTACGGACTCCTAAAAAATCCACGCAAATTTTTTAGCGAGGTGATTTCATGAACTAAACAGAATAGGAACCTGAAATTTCACAGAGATTTTCTATGTTCATATTTGAGGTAATGATTTCAAATTCAACTTTAAAGCAAGCCTGCGCCACATATAGCGGCAAATCAAGCCAGAGATTGAAAAATCGTTGGCAAGGCGCCAACTCGGGGAGTGTTAAATTTTGTCCATGCATGAGCGTATGGTGTAAAATGAGCTTTGGAGTTCAGCTGAGTTACTTATTCGAACATACCAAAGATATTTGTACGAAAAGCGATTTTGCCAGCCAGTCACGCAAGGAAACTGAAACCTTACGCGGTTATTCTATGGCAATGCATGCCCTAAATACTTCAAATTCAACTTTACAGCACACCTAGCTCTCGTAGTTGCGCAAATGGACGTTTGGATAATGTTGGCATACGATTAGCTCATTAACCAGACTGAACAAGATGCAACATCTTTTTGGAGATATCAGGTGTTCATGTGCGGGCCATTAGTCGTACAATGAGCTTCTGCCTAAGCATGGAGTCTGCGTGCAGGTGCATCAAATGTTCAAATTGCAGCACCACAGTCACACCCACTAGTACAGACGACTTTACAAAATGGGCTCATGCGAAAATGCATGTTTGCACAGTAAGACTGGCGTGTCGTTATCTACATTTTTGCATTTAGCAGGCCAAAATCAGGAACGATGATTTTGTTCAGCAGGCAAAAACTGCTTGATGTTTTGATGTGGTATATGTTTGATTCTAGTGGTATTTTTAACTTCAGTTTCATCAGTCCACTTTCTTCGCGCTGTGTGTCGAAATGTCGAATTTTATAGTGAGAAAATTCCCTCGTCTTTCATTTCAGGCTTGCAGTCGACTCGATAAGTTGCAACGGATTCAGATGTAGCAATGCTGTCTTAAAATTTTATGCTTAAAAGCTATGCAAAAACTGCAACGCCCAACCGAAGCGGCCCCAAATTCAAAACAAATGAGAACATGCTGCAATTGCTGGCATATCAAACATGGCACTATTATTCTGGGTTTGCTGGAATTGGCTGCTGTTGCCCTCATTCTCAGTGGCATTCTGAAACAGTTGATCGGAAAAATTCGAAACCATCGCTGCGAGCAGACTTTTTTCACTCGGTAATCTTGTAGCATTGCTCCATTAATGCGCACCGCACTAACCAATTTCAAGCTTAATCCACCATCCCTTACCAATAAACGCCTTAAAAAGCCAAAAGATTTCTAGGCAACTTTCCTGGCCTTCACTCGGAAGTTGCTCATTTTCACATTACTGCATTGAAAATCTGTTATATCTGGCTCCCAGTTTCTTGCTTTGAAAACCATTTCGCCGAATTCTTCATTTATTGCTGAGCAGCTACCAGGTGGTTGAACTTAGCCTTTTCACTTGATTCATAACAGCCCTAGTTCTTGGAAAATTAAATGCTAGATTTTGTTATACAAGCCAACAAAGTGCCTTGACTGTCAGTGAGCTTCTTCCTAATAACACTGTTAGCTAGCTACACACCAGGCGTAGCTAATTCTGGGTTTCGAACTCCTCAGCTGGCTGCATTTCGATACCATTGACTAACACGCACATTCACCACAAACGTTTATGGCCGAAAAAATGCTTTTTTTAAGTATTTTGAAAGATTATAACTAAGCAATTATTTGACTATTCGCCTACTATCTCCCACTATTTTGTTTATGCATTTTTACGTTTTTGCATACTTTCTAATAATGATGGATCAGTACACTTACAGTTAAGATGCACTTATGGTTTGCGAATGATTCGCAAAGCGCAATTACCTTAGCTACTAGGTGCTGATATCTAAGCCACTTTTTTCAATATGGGTTACAAAATAATGTCTTGAGAAAGAATGTGAGAAGCCTGGGCGAAATAAAGTACAATGTCATGTGCCTTCTCCGACTGGCCTACAGGTTAAGGGCAAAAAAAGTGTTATGCGTGCCGCAGCTCATATCAGTATCCCTAACGATTTCCAAACATTCCTCGTTAATTATTTCATCTGCGTCTTTTCGCAACACAGCAGTTTAGTTTATCTTTTCATATGTTCGCGGCCAAAGCATAAGAGGCAGAAGTGAAAATCGCTCTATATAATAATTTGTTTTTTGCAAAAACGTGTGGTTCTGTTCGTTGATTTTTAAAAAAAAAATCGGCCTGTTCTGCAATTTAAGATGCATAATTCAGGTTATTTCGGGACTGTTACAAATGGAGTTTTTTAACGTTTAACTGGACGCTAGCCGGTGATTATTTTATAACGCTGCTTTTGTTAACTATCACGATATGCGTAAGTTAACTGTTTCTGTAATCATAACCTGCTCTGTATCACACGTTGATACTCCTGCAAAAAGTCTGGTTGATTTTTATTGATTAACGTTGGAAACATAGGATTAAAACAATATTTCTGCCTGCAAGACATTCGCTTCGAAATGCAAGCGCATTCATCATTGGGTAATTAATCTCCACCAAATCAGAAGTTTCGAAGTTTCCTTCAGGGACTTTCAGTTGGGGGAAATTTTTAAGGACTTTCTAAAAATACTATTTCACTGAGCAAAGAGTGGGATGAGTTAGTTACGCCCGTATCACGCAGGCCCAATTTAAAACTGAAGCGAACTGTGTGGAGAATTGATTTTGCCACCAAACGATTTTTAACGGTCGCACTGAAGCACTTCCACTTGCTTTATCCAACACGTCATGCCTGCTGCATGGGCTAATGAGCGTCAAATCTAGCACAGGAGATGGGAAATTTAACAAAACATTCTGAAAATCACAGAGGAATTGTTAACTGTGGTGAATGTGCATGTTTTGTTTTGCAACTTGTGTTTTGCTCTTCATATGTGAGCGCCACATTTGCTGACCACACAAAGAATTGTAAATGAGAATTATTTCAGTGCAACAACAGGAGAG